GATCATACTCATTGCCAACAGAGCAAGAAAATTTAAAAAAAAGTTCATCTGTGTGGCAAATCAAGTTCTTTTCAAAACTGTAACAAGATATCAAAAATAAAAACATTTTGTGAAAAAATATAGCATTTCTGAGGCCTAATGAGCCTTTAATTGTTTTACTTGCTTAATACACGTAATACCGTCTTACTGTTACACCTACCGAACTTAGAATCACTGTTTTATGACATGAGTACATGTAGTGGTCTAAAAATACAAATAAGGAAATTACTATTTTCAAGTTGTATTCCATATTTTCACAACAAGGACATCGGAGTGCAAAATGCTCTACATGGTGTACACTTAAATTGGGTCAGCTTTGAATTACTCACCCGACTTAAGATTTTTTTCTTCTTCAAAACATGAATGTATTCTTCAATAAAAGATGCTGACATTGTCATATGTACAGTATCAGGCATGATTTCAATAATCTAGTCTGAAATAAATATATTGGATTAAGTAATGCCAATTAAATGGTTTAATTTATATCCTTTGTTTAAATGAATTACTTATCGTGAATCAAGATTTCAGCTTATGTTTATCACCATAAATGTTTATCACCATATATGCTACATCTGTGATCTCAGGCGTGTTGTTAGCTCTGGAACAAAACTGCTGGCAATAATTCAATGATATGGTACTTTTTCTGCCCTCGAAGGTAAATGTTGAAGGGTTTGGGTATATTACACCAGATTCGGTCTTAAACAATGCGTGTAGCATCAAATTTGATTATCAACAAGTTGCCCATGTTCAGCGATGTTTCATTGTTATCCAGCAGAACCAATACAAATATACAACTTAGATATGACTCTGTATCAAAGACAGCCATTTAAAGCAGCATACCTCCAGATAAGCCAAAGTATTTTTTAAAAATCAAACTTGAGAAAGATGTACTAAGATTAATGAAAAAGTAAAAAGGGAATTCAAGATATAATTAACATGTTAAGTGGGATTACTATTTGATATTCAATGTCCCAATAATCGTTCTGTTTTATGTCTCAATATCGCATTTCGGCGATAATTTTCACTTCATCAATTTAATTTACAGTCTCGTGTAATGTAAAACATTTACAGTCTAAATACGGCAACGGTTATTATGCCTTTCCTTAAAAAAGGCTGCACTATTTCTGGCAGAAACGGGCACCGGAGTAGAACCACCGACGTTCCGTAAGCTAGGCGATGGATAGCCCCCTCACATGAATGAATCCAAAGTCCCAGTCGGGATTCGAACACGCAACTGTGAGGAGCTAGCAAGTAAGAACCCAAGAAGTCAACGAACTAGTCACTCGGCCACGGACGCCACTCTAAAAATAGAGGGAAATTAACAACTGTTACATTTCGTTAAAAAAAGTATGATCGGAGACAAATTGAATTTTTTTTTATATTTTCATTCAAATAAGCAAGGAAATAGAGAGACATCGTGAGGCATTTTTATAGAACTTAAGAAGCATAAAAAATGAAACGCAAACATATAAAAAACCTTTAATGAGGTAATACAAATGTTTATATCAAAAACACTTGATACGTAATATAATAAGTAAACAACGTTAGTTATAAAATTGTAATATATAAATACAATTTTCAAATAGGAATAAATGAAATGTATGCGAGAAATATAAAAAAAAATCTTATAAACTATGTATTGCATACAGAAATAACATACATTCATTGAAAATGAGCATATTTTCCGCTTTTACGTGTATTTTTAACTGCCGGACCTCAAATGAATTAAATACTGACAAAGACATACATCTTAACACAACTGTTTACTCATACATTACAGCCACGTAAATTGAAACCGCATTCCACAACTAGCAGCAAGTTCCAAATAGTGTTTATCAAATTCCTCATTTTCTGCCACTGTAAACCAATTTTTCCAATCGCCAACTTTTCCTGTAATATCAAAACTATAAAAGTGACATTATGCTCATTTTTTTCTTTGTAAAGATGAGCTGAACTGAATACATATTTATTAGAAAATTATGAAAATTTGAACGTAACATGTAATAATTCTGATGAATATTTGTAGAAATTTCCTTGGGTCATGTGAGTTATTTTCGTCCATCCAAATTACATTATAGAATTAAAAGGAATTATGTCAAAATGTAAACTTTGTTTGATTTTTACCTTTTCACTCATAATATTTCTTTTGGATGGGTATAATGTCTCATTTAGCAAATCATTGCGAATATAACGAAAAGAAATAAATAGTATACAAAGATATTAATGTATTTGAAGGAAATCTTTATAAACTTCCTTGTTACATATTCTTGTTTTTCGAACAGAAAGCTATATTTATTTCAAATCTTCAATTATATTTCAATAAAAAATACAAATTCATACAAATGAATGCCATTAGGCCTTAGTAAATATATTATACTCTTAAATAACAATAAATACCTTTTCGGTACAATGTGTAATCCCCGTTGTATATCTCTCTACGAACGCTGTCCGGGTGCATTTTATCTTTATACATATTATGAAACTGACATTTCTCAGAAATAGCCACACATAGAAGTATATTTCTTTTATACGGGTATTTTAGAATTACATGTATTCGTTTCCAAAATTGCAAAAATAAGTTGTGAGTCAGTTATACACCCTTATACTTTAAAAGCGGATTAAATATATATAAAGTAAGTTTCAAATAAAATATGCGCCATGTGTTGTTTAGAATATCGTAAGGACAACTCCCCTATAATTTCTTCTTATGTCCTTAAAGTCTTCCTTCCCCTTTTGTATATTCGCCTGAGTATTTCAATACATTTACATTCCAAGTGAAATCACATTTTAATATGGCAAAATTTGTGTAGTCAATCATATGGGACATAGTGTATTCAAAGGTATGGTCATAATTGTAAAGTCTGATTAGCCATCGTTTTTTATATGAAAAATTACCAATTAAATGTTTCTTTTTTACGATGACTTACACTATTCTCTTTTGCAAATATAATAAAGATTGATCATTATTTTTGTCAATATATTGTATAAACCACAACATCATCTATATTTTTGCAATGGGTTATCAAGAAAAATGACAAAAACGGGGGTTAGTCATGTTACTTAAGGTAGTGATCAAGTGCTCGAAATCTATTCGGGTAACAACTACGTTTCCTTATATAACCCATGCTTAAGTTTACCAATTGCTTGTTGTTGATCTTGATGTCTTTGTAGATGACAATAGTGATTGAAGTAAGCTTCATGTTTTTAAGGTAAACCATGGTTAATGGGCACTATAAGCAACTGTAAAATTGACAACATAGGACAGATATATGCCTTAAAGATCACCTGTATGCAAAAATTAAATAAAATTTACCATGTGGTTTATGAGTTATGGATATACTAAAAAACTTTGCTATCAGAATGTTGTTGTTTTTTCTAGAAATGATGAAACTCTAAATAATCTATAATATCATCATTATGAAAAATGTTTTTAATATGTATAAAATTGCCCACCCACTTTAAACACTTATTTGAACATTTCTGTATATAAAAAGCCTTTTCCAAAATATCTCTAAAATTTACCACAATGAATGGCTGTTTTCAAAGTTTAACTTTATTTTCTTAAAAATATATTGGTTGATCATGCAAAATATGAAATACGTTTATCCTCAATTATAAAGCAGTTGACAAGTGATTCTAGCATATTTGAATACTCTTCAAAGTGGGGGTAAAGCATTAGCAATGGTCTAAATTAACACAATGATAACAATGAGCCGGATGAATTCTGAGGAACTTCCCATAGTTTAATTCCAACGGCAATAGTCTTTACTAATATTTAAGATATGTATGGTATTTTGCCATGTGACAGTTCATTCTTTAGAAATAATAAAAGAAAATTCATCATTTGTTAGATATATGTAAAACAACATATGTAGTAAATTAGTAAATATCTATATGTTATGATATCGTTCTTTTTTTTTCTTTTTTCTTTTCTGCTAAACATCTCGCTATTATGGTTATTTAGCTGTTACTTTAAAGTACAAATGTATTCAACAAAACCAGATGTTACTTTCATTTAAAACAAAAGAAACTGAGTATTTATTGCTATTTTTCAGTTAGCTATATTGATTTTTGAAATGTACTTTATATTTTATGTTAAACCTGTTTTTTCATTTGTTATCAAAACATCAAAACACAAGTTCACGATCCTCAACTAGAAATGCCAACTCTCCTCTTGACAGATGTGTTATAACTTTTTGTCAGAGGATTTTATGGATTTTTGTCAGAAATGCTATAGATGTATTGTATGAAGAAAAGTTCTTGACTTGCTTGCTTCTTGACAGAAGTGTTGTTATCCCTTTTAAGAAGTACTTTTTGAAGTACATATAGTTGTTTCATCTTGCAAGAAGTTACCTTTTTGTCATTATGGTTCTTATCTCACGGCAGAAATATTCTTGCATCTCACAAGAAGTATTATTACATAACGTCTTAATCATTCTTATCTCTGAGCAGAAGTGTTCTTGCTTCGCACAAGAAGCTGTTTCGTACTTTGTCAAAAATAGTTTTATAGAATACTGGCCTCCCGTCAGAAGTATTCTTGGAGACATTACTTTCTCTCAAGAAGTATTCTTACCTCTTACCAGACTATCGACTTTTTGGACTTTCAAAATTGGCACCATCACGTGGGTTACTTTATTTTTATACGCTTTACATCGGAAAATGCACCTTAGTGTTATTTTGTGAAGCTACAATACACAAAGCTAAGATATCTGGCTTGTAGCATTGCCTTGTGAACCTGTACAAAGAAAAATAAAAATAATTATGCCCCTTTGGTCATTACCCCCCCCCCTCTCCATTGGGTCATTTTATCTATATAGACCAATGTTAGAAAAACATTTAAGCATTGTGTTAAAAATTTCTTGCTTTTTGTTGATAATCTCACAAACATTGATCGGGCCTTTCATTTAATATAGATTTTTCTACACGTTGATACAAGTTATTAAGTTAAACATTTATGTATGGGCAATAAGTAGCAGATGGTTTCAATAAAAACGTGTTATAATTAAATTGAACATTGAGCTGATGTGCGGATACTTATATGTTAGTGATATTTTATGCGAATAACTTTTGATTATTTTTTCTCAGAAGGATACTACATAAAATTTTACTGGATTTAATTTTGGTATGTAGAATTAGTATAATAAAAAAACCTGTCTGGGTGGACGGTAACGCATACACATTAGTCGCCTTGTATTAACGTAAAATCTTAACAATAACACTTTTTTGTTTTGTCTGTTCCTTTTATTTTCAAAATATCCAAAATTATTTAGACGATACTACATATAATTTTTAAAATAAAAATAATGAAATTAATATTATTTTCGCTGCTGTTTCAAAGGCAAATGAAAATAAATAAATAAATAAATGAATTTAAAAAAGACGAACTAAAGAAAGGAAGTAAAATCAAAGTCTTCTTGCCTCACTTATGCACTAAGTGCTCAAGTACGAGCTTTTAGGATCAGTCAATGAATTTACCATATTGTATGACTGTTTGCACTTTAGAGGTAAGGTTTTGATTTAATTTCCATTAAAGTATCGTAGAAAAATCCGGACATACTTCAACAAGAGTTAAAAACTAGGTCAATATGTCAAATTGTTAATTTTCAGACTTTTTTTAAAAAAGAAAATGTTTTAATATATAAACTCATCAAATAAAATTCAGTTTTTCGTAATATCTTATAAGTTAACATCAGCTAATTTATTTCAGATATAAGAGAAAGGAAAATGAAATTAACTTTCAGTTTAATCGTCAGCATCATTTTGGTGAGAAATTTTCTTCAAGCTTTAGATTTTGAAGTAGTAGAACTATCTCACGAGCTTGGATCAGATACCTTGTTCTACCCAGGGGATCCTCCATTTGTCTTTACCATCATATTCCGTGGCGACACCGGGGATTACTGGTAACAACTTTTCGATATATGCCTGGTATATTGTGCAATCATTTAAAAGAAAGTACAATGTAAATCCTTTTAATTGAAGCGTTTTAATAGCAATTACGAAAGAACTTTGTATGTATTGATGTCATGCTGTGGTTAGTCCAACACCTTTTAGACAAAAAGTTCTCTTTTATATTTCTCTTCGATTGAGATAAGCATTTTTCCTTCCTTCCTTCCTTTCTTCCTTTCTTCCTTCCTTCCTGCCTTCCTTTCTTCCTTCCTTCCTTACTTACTTCATTCCCTCCTTCATTCCTTCCTTTCGTCCTTCCTTTATTTCCTAATTTATTCATTCATTCATTCATTCCTTTGCTCTGTTTGGGGGGAATTTGTTGCTTTTTTAGGGGAATTTGTCTGTTCCAACGACATTTCTTTTTAAAACATATTCTATTTTTGATTTTCGACTGTTATATAGGTATGAGTTAAACAAGTTTGAGACAGCAGACCACGGTGGGACCCATGTGGACGCACCCTCACATTTTGCCGAGGGTAAATTGAGAATGCACGAAATTCCAATGGAGAAATTAATTGGACCCGGTGTCATAATTGATGTTAAGGTAAATATTTTTTTTCCTTTCATATTGAAAATAAAGGTTTAAAAAAACATTCATGAAACTAGTTTTCGTGGTATCTGGAATTTATTCGACCATACACATGATATAGCTTAACGAGGAATGCATTATTACTTATGCCCAGGTCACAATTAAAACGGGCGCCGTCCGATTATACGATTTTTATAAAATCGGCAGATTTTTTGATGTCGTGGACGCCGGGCGATTTTAAATCTGATATCTTGCGTGGTCATGAAAGAAACAGTCGTCGGGCGATTTTTTGCCGAGTGGATTTTACAGAAAGAATTGAACGGATCAGGCGTCGCCGCCCGATGTTCGTACGGCGCCTGTGCGATTTAAAAGTGAATCGGACGGTTGCCGCGCGGTCGCCGGGCGACAATGACTTTACATTTAATGACATCCTAGATAAATCAGCCAGTTGTAATTATGCCAGCAAAGAAGTCAGCTGCCAAAGCCAAGGGGAAGGCCAAGGAGTTGGTCCGTGTTGTTGACAACGAGTCACCAACGGCCAGTATCGAGGCCGTAGAAGGCGAAAATCAATCAGACATTCGCATGGACATTGAAGAAAAAAATCATGTTTACTAGTATTCAAAAGAAATTCACAAATATATTTTTAAGGCAATTACAACTTCTTCAAGCTGAAATTACAACAAACACAAGCAGCCCGGTCGCCGGATGATAAAACGATGACCGCCCGGTGCCTGTACATGAATCGTCCGGGTACCGGGCGATAATCGTTTGACTACTTGTCTCTATTCAGGCACCGGGCGGGGCCCGGCCGATGTCCGCCCGGACGCCTTTTAAATCGGACGCTGTTTTAGTAGAACAAAAAAATCGCCCGATCAAAAATTATCGCCCAGTCGCCGCCCGGCGACCGAGCGATCTCCGCTCGATGATATTTATACTCATTGACCCCAAAAATTATCGTCCGGCCGCCGTTAGCTTTTAAGTATTACTTAAAACTCGAAGGCGCCCGCCCGATGAGCAAAATTTTCAGCTGCTGCCGTCCGATAGTCACTGCCGCCGGACGGACGCCGGCCGATATTTCGATTTTTTGGAGAAACAGACGCCGCCCGGTGGCATTTTCTTATTTGTGACCTAGGCTTTACGAAAACAAAATTTCGTTTTTAAACGCACGAGGTGGTGTTAATATTGTGTTATTACACTGAACGTTCATCCATCCTTATGTCACCATTATCTACTGTTTCTATTTAAAAAGTACACGTATCCTCGCCATTTGAACGAATGCTTTTAAAGAAGCAAACTTGTCCTCATTGCAATTACTTCCGATGAAAGGGGATGTTTACTTTTTGACTATTCAACAAAAAGTTATTTCATATAAAGCCACAAATAGCCTTTGCACTTTGATTTTCTTAATATTTTTTTTCCACGCAACCACACTAAGTTCTACAAATTGGGTCAATTTCGTTGAATAAGGGCTCGTTGGCTGCCGTGGAATTGGTTTTAATTGCGTGACATTATTTCCCTGATATTCGTGAATAAGATTCATCATGAAGCTATCTTTGTTTTCTTTCTCTGTCAATGTAAACACGTAATTAAATGCATAAATCTAAGAACGACTACTGTGGTTAATACTTACATTTTGTATAAAACGAGTTAGCTCTCTTGGAAGAAACGAATTATTTTATTATTTTATTGCCAAATATACATTAAACACATTATCAAGAAAAATAAGATTGGAAAAACTGTCACCTGCCAACACGAATTACAAAATAGATGATGTCCTAGTTCAAAGTTTTACAAATTCAAGAAATAGCAGCCTTCACACATTAAGGTTTGCTTGTAATTGGTGTTGTACCAGTATCTTACCGTATGTTGAGACCTTTATCAATATAAGTACATACTGTGATGAGATGGATGCGAACGAACGAACGAACGAACGAACGTGAGTATAAACCTTTTGCTTGACCTATCATTTACTTGAGAAGAAATATGCCGTGTTTTATGCATTTGGAAGGAAATTGCTCAATGGCCTTTTATTGACAAAGATCAAGGTCACCGTGACATTAGCTACTAAATGTATGTCCGATAAATAACTAAAGCTATACAGTTCTAAGATTTGGTGTGGAGTTTGACCATGTCTAGACGATGATCTTTATTGATTTTGAGGTCAGACATATTTATGGTCGAGGGCCCTGTGGTCTTGACTACATAAATGTTGTTAGATCAATAACTAAAGAAGCCTTGAATTATATTCGTAAGATTTGATTTTGAGGTTGGTCTGAACAAAAAGATAATCCCGACTGATTCAAAGGTCAGTAGGTCAAAGGTCAAAGTCAATGTAACATCGATTAATAAAAAAAAATCCTATCAATCGCTAAAGATATTTAGTCCACAGTCTCAAGATTTAGTGTGTAGTTTAGTCATGACTAGTAAATGACCTCTAAGAACTATGAAGTCATTCGGTTAAAGATCAATGGCACAGGGGTACTTTGTATAAAATCTTATCAATTACTTGAAAAAGATCACAATGCTAATGTTAGGAGGGAACTTGCAAATAGCCAGTAAACGTTATCTGTTGATTTTGAGGTTATTGGGTCAAAGGTCAAGGTCACACTGTGTAAATTATGTAGAAACTATATAGGACATTTACCATTGCTTGTAGAGAGACCCCGATTCATTTTGTGATCATTAGGTCAAGGTCACAGTGACGTACGAAATATCTATATTATCAAGTGCAAGAGTTCCCTTTGTCAAATACTTGTACAATTTATTAGTTATAAAACTAGTTTCGTGCATGATAATTAAAATAAAAAGAAAAATCTATTTAATTTTATAAAATATGCAATGTAAGACTGCCACTTTAATAACATATTAAGGACATATTCCTTGTTTTCGTTTTTTTCAAAGGTAAAACATTGTTGAACTAAATTATTTTGTTAGTTATCATTCTACCTATATGTTTTGCTTATATGATTGAAAGATACAATAACAAACATGTAGCGATTGCTTTAAAAAAGAATGTGCCGCACATTTTGTACATGGATTGTGAAATCCGGAATAAAAAATTATAACAGTTTTACTATATGATCTATACACTGTAATTGATATATAAAGAGTGTGTTGCTTACCATATTTACCTATCCTATACCCTGCTGTCCCCCCTACCCCCCCCCCCACCACCACGACAAAAAAAAAAGATAAAAAAATACATAATAATAATCTTTGTCACAGCCTAAACAAGTATGTTCTAATTAATACAGAATTTTAAAGAGTAAACCATAAAATAATTTTATGTTAGCCTCAATTTCATTCACCTTATAAGAACAGCTGTTTCACAAACGGTGTCGAAAAACGGTGTTTGTCCCCGATAAGGGTTGACCTGAAATTATTACATATTTTCTTATTTGATGACACGAAAAACGTTTCACCACTGATAACCGAAATTTTTTATCTGCACTTTATTGAAACTAAGATATTTAACGCGAGTGTGATTAGATATCTGATCAACATGTCTTAATGACTCGTAATAGTCAAAGTAAGGTGGTCGTTACTCTTTGGTCGAGTCTGAACTCTAGAATAAGAGTAACATTGAGAACAATTGTCTTTATTGTGTTACTTTAAGTTAATCATGATTATTGTAAAATCTATTGTTTTATTAACATTTCCATTATTATCATAATCATTATTATCATTATTATTATTATTATTATTATTATTATTATTATTATTATTTTTATTATCATTATTATTATTATTATTATTATTATTATTATTATTATTATTATTATTATTATTATTTATTATAATTATTATTATAATTATTATTATTATTATTATTTATTTATTTATTTCTATTTGTTTCTTATTATTACTATATAACTATTACTATTATTATTATTATTATTATTATTATTATTATTGTTATTATTATTTTATCATCATCATCATCATCATCATCATTATCATCATCATCATCATCGTTTTTACTGTTATTATTATTATAATAATCATCATCATCATCATCATCATCATCATCATCATCATTATCATTATAATCAACTCTTAAACCGGCAGTAATTGTGAACATAAAAGGTCTGGACGTTCTTTGATGAAATCATGTGTGAATGACAGGTAGTTACTCAGGATCAGTGTCTATAAGACAAAGACATTAAACTATGAGTAATACTCGCTTGTACACTTAACCAACAATCAAACGATGACTTTATAATGGGGAGAAAAGTCAAGTATGCTATTATTTGTAAAAAAGAATATTTTTGACCTGGTTATATAGCCCAGTATAAACGTAGAAAGGAAAACGTGTATATTATTAGTTATAAAGAATTTTGACATGCTATATGGCCTTATATAAACGTTTGTTTATATTGCAAATAACAGTTTAAATACGGTCATATAACCTCTTAAGAATCTTGATAACGAATTTAAAATACTACACATTTTCTTAATCAGAGAAGAAAATAATTAATCCATAAATCGACTGCAGCCATGTGTATAGATTGTATAAACGTCATGATTATCCAATGAAAAACGACGTTACAAACATGCAGTATTAAAAAAAAAACAGCCATAAACGGTTAAGCCAAAAAGGAAGGCAATTTATTCAGTTGTGTTTAATCTGAAGTTGCTATTAAAATAAAATCTGAATCACTTAAGTTTTAAAACGTAACTGTGTATGTATATATGGTACGGAAGAGCAATAGTGCCAGGTGTATGTTTTTTATTAACTCGAAATTTCGAGTTACTAACTCGAAATTTCGACTGACTTATCTCGAAATTTTGAGTTACTAACTCGAAATTTCGACTTACTAACTCGAAATTTCGACTTACTAACTCGAAATTTCGACTTAGTAACTCGAAATTTCGACTTACATTGCACGACTTTTATTGGTTGACGGTGAAACCAAGGATTGAATTCAAGATACATTCTTAGCTGTTGCACATTGACAGAGCACCTTTAACATTTATTTAACAGAACAATTTAATAGGATTAAATTGTCCACACATAATGAACATATCCTTCGCTTTTTTGTGGAGGGGGGGAGGGGGGTTGTAAAATCACACTTTCCACATTTCCGTGTTAACCGGATGTTTCTTTTTCTTAAGCACACATACAACCATCATGTCGAGAAACAACAAGTCAAAAACCCACCCTATTGTAAACTGTGCAATATCATGTGTTAAATAAGTTTTAAATGTCGTGCATACGCCAGTTAGTCTGTCACGTTTCTTTATACTAATAATGTTTTTGTAACATTATTCATTATTTACTAATACATACATGTACTTTGATTCATATTGTGTTGATAAAAGTTGATAAAAGTGGAACTTGTTGTTATATATATGTTGGGAATAATATAAAAGCATCCGATTTTACAAGAAATATAGTCAGTCCAACAATTTTGACAAAGGCCTCAGCACGCCCTATTTTGGCCACACCGCGATACTTTCCTCAGATGTCCCACACGTGAAGTATAGGATCGTTTTATTCACAGGGATGAGAAGAATATGATTAGTGAAAAGATATGTTCGAACAGATGGGATACAATACAACGTCTAAAGAACGCCTGAACGTACAAATTAAAGGAAGCCTTGTATTTTTTAGGTCGGGTGTGTACATGCCATTCTTAAGTTTAAGTTAAATTTCAATAGTTTTTGTCCAGGCACCCGTTTCTCCATCTCCATCGTTCAACTGCACTCCCTACTATATCTTATATCATCTAACTAATAACTTTGGCCATTCTTGTAATGTTAGAAAGTCGAAATTTCGAGTTACTAAGTCGAAATTTCGAGTTAATAAGTCGAAATTTCGAGATAAGTAACTCGAAGTTTCGAGTTAGTAACTCGAAATGTCGAGTTAATATGTCGAAATTTCGGGTTAGTAAGTCGAAATTTCGAGTAGGTAAGACGAAATTTCGAGAAAAGTAACTCGAAATTTCGAGTTAAATAAAAATATACACCTGGCACTAATGCTCTTCCGTAATATGGTCATATAACCTGTTAAGTTTTTGTTGTTTTTTTCTAATGAGATCGTTTCATTATTTAAATGCTTGGTACATTTGATCGACACTTTATTTCTATTTAAATACTATCTCGTTAATTCCAATAAATGCAGATTTAATCTCATTAATTCTGACTAGCAAACATTTATATACTAGTATACCAAATGACTGTATAAATAATTACCTATTTTATAAAAAGTTTATCAAAACATGTTCTTGCATTTTGTTGTTTAGTACATTTATCTATCTCTGAAATGTTGAAGAAATAAAACATTTTTACATTACATTTTGTCTTTTCATCATTACAATAACGCTATGTTTTTACTTTGCTTTTTATTGTAAATTCATCAAGACGCTGTGTTAATCAATAAATAATTCAGTTTCATGTTATACTCAATTTATAAGCAAATGTCTAAGAGCCACATTATCAGAAATTTTAGATATAGATTTAGTTCATGAAGGAAGCAGACGACAGATCAGGTCTGCAATGATGTGCAGCAATATTGCATGGTCACCATTGGAAACGAGACATAATATAAATACAAATCAATAATTCTAGGAAATAAGTGATAAGTTTATCTGACGCACTCATATATGTAATTTAAGGTAACACCTCTCTGTTGGTGTCCCAGGGATCAGTTTGACTGGTCAACGTGTTTCAATAAAATTAAATGAAATACTTGGTCATGAAGTATGTACAGTAATGATTTCTTAAAATAGAAAATTATGTCATTCAGTGATAGCACGCTATTTTTGAAACTGTCCTGATTTAATTACAACAACTGTCTGCGTTTACAATAGATAACTTTATATCAGATAATATTATCATGCACATTGCAAAATATTTTGATAATTTATCTACAATAAGTATTATTTTTTGCAATCTGTAAATTATCATTTCCGCCCCTGACTAAGCAGTAAAGTTATTAATAAAGCCGTTTGCATAGTTTCCCTTTATAGGAGTTGTCTATCTTGTATTGGTGAATCTGTCAAATACTTTCGTTTGTAAACAAATTGATAAAGATGCAATTGTTTATTTAAATACAAATTATCACTTTTAGCAACATTATACATACTCATTTTTACTTTTTGCAAGATTCAAAGTCATTGTATTTTTGTTAAGGTCACACTACAAGAATGTGTGAACTACCTTAATATCATGATTCATTTTTTTTTTTAAAAAAAAAAACCTAATTCCAGTTGATCGCTTTCTAAATACCATTCACGTGCGACACTTCACGTTAACAGTGGGAATGTGCTAATGTAATCGTCAGGGACGTGCACTTTAATACGATTTATCATTCAATAGTATATATGTACTATAAATTTCTCAACATTTTGAGAAATGAAATATATATAGTTAACGCACAAGAGATGATCATTCTTTCTTTGCGTGACAATGTGAGTCTAGATCAGCCGAGTTTAAAATAAAGAAGCACGGGGACCTTGTCAAATAACGGTGTTATCTTCCAATAAGTAGAACGTTCATTCAGATGTGGCTAAATCACTTAAGCTCAAAAACATAACTGTATTAGAGTGGCGACCAAAAAATGGCATGGATATACTATGGAGATAGAGAGAAAAATATTAGTTTATTAACACTTTATATAAACATGAATAAAGAAATTTGAGGGGAGGATATTTTACAAGAATAAAAGTTTATTTTAACACCGTAAAGAAACGCAGACTCATGACCGTGCCGGAGGAGAGAGATTCAACCGGAAGTGGGGACGATGGGAAAACTGTCTCAGCGGATTCTGTTGCAGACGGAAATGAATCGCTGATTAGTGCCAGGCAAGTAGTAGCTGGCAATAAAACGGCCACAGACACTGAGAAAGAATCTCAAGAAAAACGTGTCGGGTTCGAACTAGACGACGATGCGGAAAATGGAGAGAAAGAGACCAAACCGGAAGAAGCTGCGCTATTATCTATTGAAGTCTCTCAGCAGACTGGATGGATGCCTGACGGGGGTTGGGGATGGGGCGTGGTCGCTGGAGGTGTCATTGTTCACGTTTATGTCGGTAAGTTGTTATCATAAAAGTATATCATATTTAATAATCAAAGTACTTTTAATGGAAAGCAAGCTAATTATTTAGAAATATAAGTCTCTCAACTTTATCTCTCAAAATTCATTAAACATAATGCTAAAGCAAACATTATTCGTAATAGGAGGAAAATAACTCAGTAAGATTGTTGTGATTCAGCAAAATGCGGAAACAATTTTCTGAAGTTGAAAGTTTATACACTTTATTTTCACATAAATTGTAATTACTGAATCATGAAAGTATGTATAGATCATACTACATATATAAAGGTTACAAAATAAATGATACGGAAGAAGGAAGATTTTCGCTACCCACAAAAAGTTCTAATAAAGGAAAGTAATTAAGTTAAGTACGCAATTTTGACGCAGTGGTCTCCCTTTCATATTATTCAATTATTTCGATGAAATAAAATATAATTATATATTAACTTTTATAGAATTTCTGTCACAGAAAATGAAAGTTTGCATATATATGTTAAAGTTCTTCGCATGCATATAAAGTTAAGTTTATTAGGTCAAGGCGACCTCTAGACAATATTTTATCATTTTATCTCTTTTATATAAGAACACCTAATAAGACAGTGACCTGATTGGGTTGACTTTAGATAATAACCTAACTAGGTACACTCGCATCTTCTAAATATAACTTTTTGTCACTTATTAACAATATAACTCTAACAGATTAAAGACCCTCATCAAACTATACAATTGTCATTTATTACTTATGTATATACTCAGTTATGAATAAAAGTGTGCACTTGGTTACTTGGACATTCTTCATTACATACTTCAGTAAAATAAAATCACAAATTTGGTATCAAATTTGACAGGAATGTGATTTGTTTAGGCTTTTCGTCACTTTAAGTGATCATTAACCAAATTCCGTTGCATTTATATGTCGTCTGCGGATCAACAAAAGTGTTCCAGATTTTCATAGATCTGATGTAACGCCATATGGACTTGCCTTTGAATGATGAGTTTTAAAAATTCATATGTGCAAAGAAAAGAATGCATTTTTAAAAAGAAACATTCTTCAACTTTCTAGTGTTACCCTTAGCAGTTTACATGTAATCAAAGTTCAAATAATAATCAAATTTCAATTTAATGTAACCCTCGTATAGTCAATTCAATTTTTGCAATTTTTTATACCAAATATTCCAATATTTTACTCGGGTAAACACACAAAATTTAAATTTCACCAAGTGCACACTTCGTTTTTGTTACTCAGTATATATTTCATTTTATTTTGATGATTATCCTGCCAATTAAGGACATTCCAATAATCAATCTTGAATTGGAAGCATTGCAGATCAATAACATAATTCTTGTTGTGTAAGAGTTCAAAAATATTTACTCATTGATTCAATATGTGGTGTTAAATGTGGTACATACAAGTTAATAACTGCATATTATTCTGTAAATCGTGGTTGGTCTTTAAATTTTATGAAAGACTAAAGATTTTGAAAAATCACGCCATGAGTTAATGAAAATAAGTGTCTCGAATCTGTTACAAACACAAATCAAGATTATAATTCAAAATTCGAGTCAAAATGCAACGTGCGTACAATTTTCCTACGCTATTCGAGTATGGGACGCCTTTGTTGCATTCCTACAACGCTTTGATCTATAGTTCAAAAGTATTTTTTTCAAATGTACAGCAACACATGCAGCAACAAGCGACATAAATTTTAGACTACAGTTAAGTCATTCTTAAATGATAGTCACCTCATTGAGTAAATGAGTGGCTGTAATGATTTTAAAGGCCCTTTCTTGCTCCCTTTACACACTTTATTTTTTTAATATAAATTCTTTAAATCCGTAATTTATTTTCTTTAAAAAGAAATAATGAAAATACAAAACTCCAAATGACCGCTCACAGTACCTTTTAATTAGTAATCAAAATGTACGTAATTGCTAAAAAGCTAGTTTTTTTTCTTGTATTTAGGTGGCTTGATGAAGGCTAGTGGTGTCATGTACATGAAACTGAAGGACGAGTTCAACCAGAGTGCTGTAGCTACAGCCTGGGTATTTTCATTGTTCACAACATTTTTACTCTTAATGGGTAAGTATATGAGAGTTTTTTTTTATATTTTTTTTATACTTTTTTTATGTTCAATAGCTAGATATATTATTGCAACATTAAACAAAATCATCTCTTTCACTTGATATTTTTTACATGTCCACAACAGTAATTCTAATACTATGTCCACAACATTACTTCTCAAACTATGTCCACAACAATACTTCTTATACTATGTCTACAACCTGACTTCTTACACTATGTCCATAACATAACTTCTTACACTATGCCAACAACATTCCTTCTCATACTTTTTCCACAACATAGATTCTTACTCTATGTCCACAACATTACACAAAATTTGTTCTTTCACTTGATATACTATTCATATTTCCACAACATAACTTCTAATACTATGTCCATAACATTACTTCTTACTCTATGTCCACAACATTACCGCTAACACTATGTCCACAACATTACTTCTAACACTATGTCCACAACATTACTTCTTACACTATGTTCACAAAATTACCTCTACAACCTATGTCCATAACATTACCTCTAACACTATGTACACAACATTACTTCTTGCGCTATGTTCACAACATTACCTCTAACAATATGTCCACAACATTACTTCTAACACTATGTTCACAACATTACTTCTAACACTATGTCCACAACATTACCGCTAACACTATGTCCACAACATTACTTCTAACACTATGGCCACAACATTACTTCTAACACTATGTCCACAACATTACTTCTAACACTATGTCCACAACATTACTTCTAACACTCTGTCCACAACAATACCTCTAACACTATGTCCACAACATTACTTCTTACACTATGTTCACAACATTACTTCTAACACCTATGTCCACAACATTACTTCTTACACTATGTTCACAAAATTACCTCTAACACCTATGTCCATAACATTACCTCTAACACTATGTACACAACATTACTTCTTACGCTATGGTTACAACATTACCTCTAACACCTATGTCCACAACATTACTTCTAACACTATGTTCACAACATTACTTCTAACACTATGTCCACAACATTACTTCTAACACTATGTCCACAACATTACTTCTTACACTTTGTCCACAACATTACTTCTTACACTATGCCCACAGCATTACATTTAACACTATGTCCTCAACATTACTTCTAACACTATGTTCACAACATTAATTCTTATACTATGTCCACAACTTTACTTCTTATACTATGTCCACAACATTACTTCTCATACTATGTCCACAACATTACTTCTCATACTATGTCCACAACATTACTTCTCATACTATGTCCACAACATTACTTCTCATACTATGTCCACATTATTACTTCTTTTACTATGTCCACAACATTACTTCTTTTACTATGTCACAACATTACTGCAATGTATACAACATTATTTCTAAATTTTAGACATAAGTTTGCAATGTTTACAGAATAAGTTTCTAGATAAATTACTAGTATGTTAAACAACATTGCAGTAGTAGTTTTAAAGGGACTCCACTGAGGTTTAAAAGCCTAAAAACATAACATTTGAATTTCTTACATAAATGAGCTGGGCCACTTTAAACAGACATATATGCAAAGATAGTTAAGAAATATACTTTGAAATAAATTGGAAATCGTATTTTTATGCTTTTCTTAGCCTGATTAGAGTGAAAAGCGTTTAAACGCTTTTCATTTTGGGTCATTTTTTTCACAATTGGAATAGTTATTCTGGAAAAAACGAAGTGCGCAAATGATCTGAAATTTTGCACAAAGATTAGTGGTCTAAACCTACATCAAATCGTACATTTATTTGGAAAAAATATTTTCAGTCCCATCATGTCAAAAAACGTCAGTGGAGTCCCTTTAATAATTTAAGCATGTTATTGCAATGTTCACATCATTAGAGATAAGATATAATATAAATAGTTTCGAAACATTATAATTTAGATTGACATTATTTCAATGTTCACATCATTATGTTTTATATTAAGCTATATTATTGCAATGTTAATGAAATTATTTTTTATAGTTTAGATTTAACATTGCAATATTCAAAACATTTATTCTTATACATCTGTTTGTGTTGTGATATTGCAAAATTCATATCATTTTTTTTTTTTTAAGTTTAGGTCCTTTATTGCAATGTTGACATCTTTATTACTCATTGAAGATGTATTGTTACAATGTATACATCAATATTTCCTGTAAGTTAAATACATGTACGTTATGGTATTTTCAAAAAACAAGCTTTCATGCAAGAAATAGTATTGCAATATTCACATTTTTACTGACAAATGGTTGCATTGTAATTGCAATGACATATCTAAATTATAAGATTCAATGGTATGAACATTGCAATTATATAGCTAGTATGTAAATTATTGTAAACATTTTATTAACAAGTTTTTGCTTTTCAGGGCCAGTTGCGGGCGCCATGTGTCATCGTTTCTCGTGCCGCACGGTTGTATTTCTCGGAAGCATTCTGTGTTTCATAGGAATCCTCATCTCTGCCTTCGCCCCGAATATCGAGTTTCTCTACTTTAGTTATTGTGTCGTCGGCGGTAAGTGTCGTCGGCGGTCAAACTTTTGTTCTTATTTCCGGTAGATTATATGAACCCATTATTCCAAGTATGTTTGCTTTTAAAGGACTAACTTGTACACTTTGACATATATAAAAGGAATGTTTAGTACAAAGTTAAGGATTCGTTTAAACTATTGTTAATCCACAGTCAATATCAGTTTACAGTGTTGAGCAGAACTAATTTATTAATTCGATCAGGTTTCATTTCTTTTAATATTGATCTAAATCTGGATGTGAAAACTATAAGTATTTATCACTTTCAATCCCGCTTCCTCGTGCTAGCCAGTACTGATGTCATATGAGGTGACATGGTCGGGAACCCATTACGTCTAAATTGAGAGTCTGACACCCATAACAACCATATCACCGATTCTCTTGATATAATGAGTACATTGTTTAATGTAAATTATAAATGCACGAAATTCCAGGGTTTGGTCGCTGTTTGACCTACACACCTAGTCTGATCCTAGTAAACAATTACTTTAACAAACGACGAGGTCTTGCCGTCGGAATAACCACCGCCGGCGTCGGGCTAGGAATGTTCACGTTTCCGCCTTTGATTGGTTAGTAATTTTTCTTTTTACTTTAGTTACCACCGTAACATAATGGTTATCACGTGATAATTATTGTCATCTTATTTATGTCGTTTACAATAGTTCAATAAATCGGTACCAGCTGTCTGTCAACAAACAGCGAAATAACTGTGTTGCCGTAACCTTCCAGGTTTTCAAGAGAAAAACAACAATACACCATCTGTACATGGTTTCTAACAATATAAAATGGCAAACAATATAGGTTATTAACATTTACACAATATTCCAATTCTAGAATCGAACCAATAAATGTATAAATGAATATTAAGTAGCAAAAATCGAGAATCTCCGATAATTTATGTAGCCGGGTACAAATTGATTTAAGGGTATTTGTGTACATGTAATACACTATATGTTTACTTTTCACTCTGTTTTAACGCCGCGACTACACATTAATTTGCAGAAGGTATATTCGGTTACTATGGTTATCAAGGAGCGATGTTGTTGTTGTCGGCAATCAGTTTACAAACGTTTGTTTGTGCAGCCCTCTTCAGACCAATGGACCTTCACAAGAAGATCTCTAAAACGCAAAGAATCAATGAGTAAGTTGATGTGACGTATTTTCTACATTTATTACATAATCGTAATCACGTGATCTCGGATACCGTATGATTTACAAACTTTTAAAAAAATAATTTTCAATCAATGCTCTATGGACATGTGGCAAAACAATGATTATAAAAATTTAACAGCATCGCAGTATCAAAACAGCAGTAAATATTAGAATATAATACAAGCATTGATTGCAATTGTCTAACAAAAATTAAAGAGTTTTAGCATCTTATATTTAGTTATGTTTGGCGAGATTTGTTTGCTTTAAAGGCGATCCATACATGATAATGTTAATTAACGGTCCACACCTTTGCCGAAGCGCAATTTTGGGTTATGTTCACATTTTTTTGAAACTTAATATCATGTTCTTAAAAAAATGGTGCAGTAATCTGAATAAACAACCTTTATAAAAAAATTAGAAAACGCTTCTTTAGACACAATTCTTACTGTATTTCACAGTCTTGTAAAAATGGCGCGTCGTGGAAGTGTTGATGCCAAAATGATAGTTCAGCAGTTTGCTCCACCAAAGCCGAAAAATAAACACCTTGCAATTGCTAGTACTGGTGACCAATGGCATGGTAGCAGCGAATTTTCTTCCACATTGGAATTCACTTACATACCGGAACCACAACCAAGACGTAGATCCGTATTTCATGATAAGATGTCGCAAGTGAAACAAGCTTTTAAACGTCCGCCGGAACAGGAAAAGCGGCCATTTTTAGAACTGTCATTATTGAAAGACTTCCCATTTTTAACTTTATGTGTGTCAGTGTTATTATTTACATCATCAATGATGTCTGTATTTGTATTTTTCCCGCCTCTCGCGAGATCGAAAGGCGTGTCACAAATGCAATCGTCTTTCCTCATTTCAATTATTGGCGCCAGTGACTCTGTCGCGCGATTCACCTCCGGTTTTGTGTTGGATATGAAAAAAGTGAAACCGTACCGATTGCTTGTGTACAATGGCGTTATGTTTGGTGTCGGAATTGTTTGTATGATCATGCCGTCAATAGAAGGATTTTCTGGATTTGCTATCATTGCGGCATGTTATGGAATTTTTACGGGTACATACGTTGCACAGAAGTCTGTTGTCGTTGTTGATGTATTAGGCCTGGAGAAAATGACAAGTTCATTTGGACTGCTTCTAGGGTTTCAAGGAATTGGCTCACTAGTTGGTCCAACAGTCTCAGGTAAACTTTATAATTTGAAGAAAACAACGTCGAATGTGTAAACGCATTGTTCAGCAATTATCTTTTAGCTATCAGTACTAAATTAGCATTGTGACTGAATTCAAGGTCTTCCTACTTGCTGACATTTAGGTTTGATTGTTGAATGATAATATGAAAAATTAAATAAATGAATAACAATATATAATAGGTGTGTGTTCATGTATGCTTTATGTTAATTTATAGCAACATTACAGCCTTAAAATATGAAAATGAATATGTGGTATTTAAGTGTACGTTGAGTTTCAAACACTTCCGGTGCAGCGTATAAGCATCGTATAGTAACGACATTTTGTCAGGTGAAACAAAAAAGACGCATGATTACTCAGAACTAATGAAAGCATAATGTTTTAAATATTCATGTATATTGTACAAATGTCTACATTTCAGGGCTATTCCGGGATGTTTTTGGATCTTACGACGAGGCGTTTTATTTTGGTGGTTTGGGTATATTCTTCGGCGGACTTGTTTTAGTATGCGGCAACGTCTGGAAGATAATTAGAGAAAGGCGTGCAAAACGAAACGAAAAGAAGTCGGGCGAAGATGACGTTTGATTTTGTTATGACATAGCTGTTCATTTAATGATATATAACGAAGTGTTCAATTAATGATATATAACGAGATGCCATTATATCATATATCATGATATATCATATTTTATGATGTTCTGTGCTATGTTATATACATATTATATGGAAAAAATTATGATATAAAACATTTAATATATAGAGGATTATTGAATGAGTGTAGTTTAATACTTTTATTGAACGAGTTGAATAAAATCATATTATGCGAGCCTCTGGCGAGCATAATATTGTTTTATTCAACGAGTTCAATAAATTTAGTATTGAATCTACACGAATATAATATTCTATTTATCACATATATAAAATAAGAACAGTTAACTGTTAAAATGAGTAATTTTTCAATGACGCGCCTATAGTGTAACCCTAACATTAACGCGCTTTAACGCTATGTTTATATATGGCACAAATGACGTCACGTCAAGTGTTATTACACTAGTGTAATATCGTTTTTATTAAATGGCTTTATTGCACTCCTGCGCCGCGGTTTATGTGATAAATATTATTTATTTGATATTAAGGGTGATCGTTCCTTTTTCTTGTTCCTCTGTATGATATGTATATGTATATAAAAGTTTTGTTTGGTAAGTCAAGAGACGTAACTGAAGTAACATTTTTGTGACAACCTGTACTTGTGTGTGTATTTATGTATGAAATGACCATATCAGTTCAGTTTCGTCACTAATTTTGCATTTATGTGTATATTACTACTAACCATGTTCACCGCTAAGTTTGCATTTGATTCATTTAAAAATATAGTCGGATGGTTAGTTCCGTACTAGAATTGGTTCAGACTCAAATATAAGGTATATAAGTGAGTAGGGAGGTTATTCTGACCACGGATTTACATTACATGTAATATAAATCCGTGTTCTGACGCATAGTAACATTTTATCGTTACATTTTGTTCTGGTATGCATGAAATATGAAAGCTGTTGTTTGAATTTTAAAATATGTGTATATGTTATATCGCAATAATTGTTAAAGGGAATATTTTCCTAATTCTGAATAAAACTAAAGATTGTTCATATCATGTTCATTAATTTTCTCCCTTTATATGTCTGGTATTCTGTTTTTCTTGTCGTAATATTAAATTAATATTCTTTTAACCATTTTACTTTTCGTTGTTTGTAAGCGAATCGAATAAAACTACTTTCAGTCATTATAATTACTGGCGTTTTTTATGCAAAAACTAAAATTTGATTTATTTATACACAAGATTTTAAGAAAAACCACACCATAAAGAGTGGAAAAATCAGTTTTTGTAAGACACTGGTAGATAAGTTAGGTTTTCGTTGAAACGTTTATTAACATATATACTCATGTCACCTATATTATTTATTGTATTTATTTATTTAACATACACATAAAAACATGACAACCATTCCATACAGAATTTTACGGGGCGTCCGTGGCCGAGTGGTTAAGGTCGTTGACTTCAAACCACTTGCCCCTCACCTCTGTGGGTTCGAATCCCGACAGGAACTTTGGATTCTTTCATGTGAGGAAGCTATCCAGCTAGCTTACGGAACGTCGGTGGTTCTACTCAGGTATCCGTTCGTGCCTGAAATAATGCACGGAAGGGCACATGAGGTCTTCCTCCACCAGTAAAGCTGGAACGTCGCGATATGACCTATACTGTGTCGATGTGACGTAAAACCCCAAAAAAAAAACAAAAAAAAAACCATACAGAATTGTTAAAAACGGTCTAAGGGGGACAACTCCACAGATTTTACTCTGTGTGTATAAATGTACTGCAGGTTGATCTACCTTTGTGACATACTTAGTAGATCATTTCTAACACCAGTCTGCTGAGCATTTCACTCGCATACAAGATTCCAAATTTAAAGTAAAGCAAATTATTGAGCTGTGTCAATATGTTGAAATGTATGTTGAATGTAGAGTATGTCGTTAACAACTATAATTCCATATCGATGTAACTCGACAGATGATACCTTACTATGTGAGCCGTGTCACGACAAAACCAACATTATGGGTTTGCGACCAGCATGGATCCAGACCAGCCTGCGCATCCGCGCAGTCTGATCAGGATCCATGCTGTTCGCTATCAGTTTCTCTACTTGTAATAGGGTTTGTAAGCGAACTGGAATGAAAATGGAATCCTTTAGTGTAGCTTGTAAAACAGAACACGACAGAAATATGAGACTTATATGGAGGATATAGAGGATTATGTTCCGTAAACGATCTTTTTTATTCTAAAATTTTTCTCTTCTTGGCCGATCTCAATATAGTAGATTCAATCAATTATAAGATATAAAACTAAACAACATTATAAAGCGTCCGTTACAATTTTTGATAAACATATCCTCTCTTATGTTGTTAAATAAATGTTCTGCTTTATTTCAGGATATTGTTTACTAAATTTAAACCGCCTGTGTCTCAGCAACATCAAAAGTCTAAATTTTCGCGATCTTCGCGGTGACCTTCGATCCGCGAATTCATGTTTAGCGCGAATATTTCTACACCAATAATTTCTTAATAGTCATATTTTCGCGCTTCTGTAGAACAATGTACATGTATATCAGTGTGTGATATGCTTTCACACTTTTTATGTAAATCTTATAGATATAGTTTTGTTTTAATGATATTCACTTACCACTTTCTTACTATACAGCAAAGGTCCTTTATACCTCACATATACTTTATTTACATTATTTATTTTACAACTTTTATGACAAATTATATCACATTTATAGCTACATTCTCCTAGTAATAAATATCTTACATTCTGTTCAAGCAGTATTTGAATGTTGTAAAATTCAGGTTTGCATTTTCTTAATAAGTTAAAAAAAAAAAATTGTTTCCTAAGCAAAATATGCATATAATTTAATAATATGTAATAGATATGTTGATATTGTTTAGTAATTATATTCTGATCTCAATTTGTATAAATGCCTCGTTAAATATTTTGACATTATCCTCATATTACATGTTGTATGCATGTTTGAGTGAATAAAAGATGTGTTGTTGTTGTTGTTGTCACCGAGTAATTGGGTTTTGTTTTCCAAGTTATTCATCATTTGAAATTGTTTATGTTTGTGTTTTTTAATTGTTTATTCAGAAAAACCAAAACATGATCTGATCAGATGTCAAGACTTTTATGACGCAAACTGTGAAAACAATATGCACGTTAACGGGCATTCTTATGTTTGCTATAATCTGTCCGCTAGACAATGTCTTTTTTTCTGTACAATAGAGTATCGTTGACACCTGGTATTGAAAATAACTGTGAACTCCCACGATGATTACAGTAATTTTCCTTTTTTAACCTGAGTGGTCTACGCGAATTTATGATTTTTGGCAGTCACCTCCGCGAATTCAAAATAGCGCGAATATTTGTATAGACCCCCAAAGTGGACCTTTCCGCGAAAATTTGCTTCCGCGAATTTAAATACACATACAGTATGTTAAACAACATTGCAGTAGTAGTTTTAAAGGGACTCCACTGAGGTTTAAAAGCCTAAAAACATAACATTTGAATTTCTTACATAAATGAGCTGGGCCACTTTAAACAGACATATATGCAAAGATAGTTAAGAAATATACTTTGAAATAAATTGGAAATCGTATTTTTATGCTTTTCTTAGCCTGATTAGAGTGAAAAGCGTTTAAACGCTTTTCATTTTGGGTCATTTTTTTCACAATTGGAATAGTTATTCTGGAAAAAACGAAGTGCGCAAATGATCTGAAATTTTGCACAAAGATTAGTGGTCTAAACCTACATCAAATCGTACATTTATCTGGAAAAAATATTTTCAGTCCCACCATGTCAAAAAACCTCAGTGGAGTCCCTTTAATAATTTAAGCATGTTATTGCAATGTTCACATCATTAGAGATAAGATATAATATAAATAGTTTCGAAACATTATAATTTAGATTGACATTATTTCAATGTTCACATCATTATGTTTTATATTAAGCTATATTATTGCAATGTTAATGAAATTATTTTTTATAGTTTAGATTTAACATTGCAATATTCAAAACATTTATTCTTATACATCTGTTTGTGTTGTGATATTGCAAAATTCATATCATTTTTTTTTTTAGTTTAGGTCCTTTATTGCAATGTTGACATCTTTATTTCTTATAGAAGATGTATTATTACAGTGTGTACAACATTATTTCCTGTAAGTTTAATACATGTACGTTATGGTATTTTCAAAAAACAAGCTTTCATGCAAGAAATAGTATTGCAATATTCACATTTTTACTGACAAATGGTTGCATTGTAATTGCAATGACATATCTAAATTATAAGATTCAATGGTATGAACATTGCAATTATATAGCTAGTATGTAAATTATTGTAAACATTGTAATAACAAGTTTTTGCTTTTCAGGGCCAGTTGCGGGCGCCATGTGTCATCGTTTCTCGTGCCGCACGGTTGTATTTCTCGGAAGCATTCTGTGTTTCATAGGAATCCTCATCTCTGCCTTCGCCCCGAATATCGAGTTTCTCTACTTTAGTTATTGTGTCGTCGGCGGTAAGTGTCGTCGGCGGTCAAACTTTTGTTCTTATTTCCGGTAGATTATATGAACCCATTATTCCAAGTATTTTTGCTTTTAAAGGACTAACTTGTACACTTTGACATATATAAAAGGAATGTTTAGTACAAAGTTAAGGATTCGTTTAAACTATTGTTAAACCATAGTCAATATCAGTTTACAGTGTTGAGCACAAGTAATTTCTTAATTCGACCAGGTTTCATGATCTAAATTCCGATGTAAAAACTATAAGTATTTATCACTTTCAATCCCGCTTCCTGGGGCTAGCCATTACTGATATCATAATAGGTGACTGCACCGCCTCCATGGTCGAGGGGTTAGAGGGGTTAGAGTCGATGACTTCTAATCCAGTTACCTCTCTAGCGTGGGTTCGATCCCCGGCAGATGCTTTGGTAGTTTAGCGCGGAGGAAGGCAGTCTAGTACTGGTGTAACTCTCCAGGAACGATGGTTAGGAAACTACCCGCCTTTATGACTGAAATACTGTTGGAAAAAGGCGTAAAATGAAACAAACAAACGAACAAACAAAACTAGGTGACAGGGTCGAGAACCGATGATCCCTAAGTTGAGAGCTTGACACCCATAACCACCACACCACTGTTCCTCTAAATATAATTTGTACATTGTATAATGTAAAATCATGAATGCACGAAATTCCAGGGTTTGGTCGCTGTTTGACCTACACACCCAGTCTGATCCTAGTAAACAATTACTTCAACAAACGACGAGGTCTTGCCGTCGGAATAACCACCGCCGGCGTTGGGCTAGGAATGTTCACGTTTCCCCCTTTGATTGGTGAGTGAATTTTCTTTATACTTTAGTTACCACCGTAACATAATGGTTATCACGTGATAATTATTGTCATCTTATTTATGTCGTTTACAGTAGTTCAATAAATCAGTAAAATGTACATGTTTGGATGTCTGTACATGGTTTCTAACAATATAACATAACAAACTATATAGATTTTTAACATTTACGAAATATTGCAATTATAATTATATTGCAATCATTATAATATTGCAATCCGAACAATACATTTTATTTAAATGTTTTGTAAGTTGCAAACATCGAGAATCCCCTATAATTTATGTAGCCGAGTACAAATCAATTTAGGGCTGTTTCGTGTATTACATCGGTTTTCCTGTGCAGTATATGTCTACTTTTCACTATGTTTTAACGCCGTGTCCACACGTTTTCTTGCAGAAGGTATATTCGGTTACTATGGTTATCAAGGAGCGATGTTGTTGTTGTCTGCAATCAGTTTACAAACATTTGTTTGTGCAGCGCTCTTCAGACCAATGGACCTTCACAAGAAGATCTCTAAAACGCAAAGAATCAATGAGTAAGCTGATATGACGTAATTTCTACATGTATTACATAATTTTATCAAGTCAAAAATCAAATCAAATTTTCAACCAATGCTCTATTTGGACATGTGGCAAAACAATGATTATAAAAATATAACAGCATTGCAATATCAAAACAGCAGTAAATATTAGAATATCATACAAGCATTGGTTGCAATTGTCTAACAAAAATTAAAGAGTTTTAGCATCTTATATTTAGTTATGTTTGGCGAGATTTGTTTGCTTTAAAGGCGATCCATACATGATAATGTTAATTACCGGTCCACACCTTTGCCGAAGCGCAATTTTGGGTTATGTTCACATTGTTTTGAAACTAATATCATATTCTTAAAAACAATGTAAAAAAATGGTTCAGCAATCTGAATAAACAACCTTTATAAGAAATTAGAAAACACTTCACACACAATTTTTACTGTATTTCACAGTCTTGTAAAAATGGCGCGTCGTGGAAGTGTTGATGCCAAAATGATAGTGCAGCAGTTTGCTCCACCAAAGCCGAAAAATAAACATCTTGCAGTTGCCAGTACTGGTGACCAATGGCATGGTAGCAGCGAATTTTCTTCCACATTGGAATTCACTTACATACCGGAACCACAACCAAGACGTAGATCCGTATTTCATGATAAGATGTCGCAAGTGAAACAAGCTTTTAAACGTCCGCCGGAACAGGAAAAGCGGCCATTTTTAGAACTGTCATTATTGAAAGACTTCCCTTTTTTAACTTTATGTGTGTCAGTGTTATTATTTACATCATCAATGATGTCTGTATTTGTATTTTTCCCGCCTCTCGCGAGATCGAAAGGCGTGTCACAAATGCAATCGTCTTTTCTCATTTCAATTATTGGCGCCAGTGACTCTGTCGCGCGATTCACCTCCGGTTTTGTGTTGGATATGAAAAAAGTGAAACCGTACCGATTGCTTGTGTACAATGGCGTTATGTTTGGTGTCGGAATTGTTTGTATGATCATGCCGTCAATAGAAGGATTTTCTGGATTTGCTATCATTGCGGCATGTTATGGAATTTTTACGGGTACATACGTTGCACAGAAGTCTGTTGTCGTTGTTGATGTATTAGGCCTGGAGAAAATGACAAGTTCATTTGGACTGCTTCTAGGGTTTCAAGGAATTGGCTCACTAGTTGGTCCAACAGTCTCAGGTAAACTTTATAATTTGAAGAAAACAACGTCGAATGTGTAAACGCATTGTTCAGCAATTATCTTTTAGCTATCAGTACTAAATAAGCATTGTGACTGAATTCAAGGTCTTCCTACTTGCTGACATTTAGGTTTGATTGTTGAATGATAATATGAAAAATTAAATAAATGAATAACAATATATAATAGGTGTGTGTATTCATGTATGCTTTATGTTAATTTATAGCAACATTACAGCCTTAAAATATGAAAATAAATATGTGGTATTTAAGTGTACGTTGAGTTTCAAACACTTCCGGTGCAGCGTATAAGCATCGTATAGTTACAGCATTTTGTCATGTGAAACAAAAAAGACGAATGATTACTCAGAACTAATGAAAGCATAATGTTTTAAATAGTCATGTATATTGTACAAATGTCTACATTTTAGGACTATTCCGGGATGTTTTTGGATCTTACGACGAGGCGTTTTATTTTGGTGGTTTGGGTATATTCTTCGGCGGACTTGTTTTAGTATGCGGCAACGTCTGGAAGATAATAAGAGAAAGGCGTGCAAAACGAAACGAAAAGAAGTCGGACGAAGATGACGTTTGATTTTGTTATGACACAGCTGTTCATTTAATGATATATAACGAAGTGTTCAATTTATGATATATATATAACGAGATGTCATTATATCATATGTCATGATATATCATATCTTATGATGTTATGTGCCATGTTATATACATATTATATAGAAAAAATTATGATATATAACATTTAATATATAGAGGATATTGAATGAGTGTAGTTTATTACTTTTATTGAACGAGTTGAATAAAATCATATTATGCGAGCCTCTGGCGAGCATAATATTGTTTTATTCAATGAGTTCAATAAATTTAGTATTGAATCTACACGAATATAATATTCTATTTATCACATATATAAAATAAGAACAGTAAACTGTTAAAATAAGTAATTTTTCAATGACGCGTCTATAGTGTAACCCTAACATTAACGCGCTTTAACGCTATGTTTATATATGGCACAAATGACGTCACGTCAAGTGTTATTACACTAGTGTAATATCGTTTTTATTAAAATGGCTTTATTGCACTCCTGCGCCGCGGTTTATGTGATAAATATCATTTATATAACAGTTTTTGTTATATATCATGATATATTTAATTTTACAATTTGTTATATCATGAAATGTAATAGTTTATGAGATGCATCATGTTTGTTTTGTTACAAATACTTTGTGTTATATAGCATGGCATATTGAATAATTTATGTTATATATCATGTTATTTGATATTAAGGGCGATCGTTCCTTTTTCTTGTTCCTCTGTATGATATGTATATGTATATAAAAGTTTTGTTTGGTAAGTCAAGAGACGTAACTGAAGTAACATTTTTGTGACAACCTGTACTTGTGTGTGTATTTATGTATGAAATGACCATATCAGTTCAGTTCAGTTTCGTCACTAATTTTGCATTTATGTGTATATTACTACTAACCATGTTCACCGCTAAGTTTGCATTTAATTCATTTAAAAATATAGTTGGATAGTTAGTTCCGTAATAGAATTGGTTCAGACTCAAATATAAGGGGAGGTTATTCTGACGCATAGTAACATTTTATCGTTACATTTTGTTCTGGTATGCATGAAATATGAAAGCTGTTGTTTGAATTTTAAAATATGTGTATATGTTATATCGCAATTATTGTTAAAGGGAATATTTTCCTAATTGAGAATAAAACTAAAGATTGTTCATATCATGTTCATTAATTTTCTCCCTTTATATGTCTGATATTCTGTTTTTCTTGTCGTAATATTTGATTAATATTCTTTTAACCATTTTACTATTCGTAGTTTGTACGCGAATCGAATATAACTACTTTCAGTCATTATAATTACTGGCGTTTTAATACAAAAACTAAAATTTGATTTATTCATACACAAGATTTTAAGAAAAACCACACCATAAATAGTGGAAAAAATCACTTTTAGTAAGACACTGATAGATAAGTTAGGTTTTCGATGAAACGCTTATTAACATATATACTCATGTCACCTATATTATTTTTTCTTATTATTATTTATTTAACACGCACATAAAAACATGACAACCATTCCATACAGAATAATATTGTTAAAAAACGGTCTAAGGGGGACAACTCCACATCATTTTACTCTGTGTGTATATATGTACTGCAGGTTGATCTACCTTTGTGACATAGATCATTTCTTCACAATGAAGTCTAACACCTGCTGAGCATTTCACTCGCATACAAGATTCCAAATTAAAAGTATAGCACTATATTGAACTGTGTCAATATATTGAAATGTATGTTGAATGTAGAGTATGTCGTTAAGAACTATAATTCCATATCGATGTAACTCGACAGATGATACCTTACTATGTGAGCCGTGTCACGACAAAACCAACATAATGGGTTTGCGACCAGCATGGATCCAGACCAGCCTGCGCATCTGCGCAGTCTGATCAGGATCCATGCTGTTCGCTATCAGTTTCTCTACTTGTAATAGGGTTTGTAAGCGAACAGCATGGATTCTGATCAGACTGCGCGGATGCGCAGGCTGGTCTGGGTCCATGCTGGTCGCCAACCCATTATGTTGGTTTTGTCGTGACGCGGCTCATGTGATGTAACAACTATCGTGAGATAATGGCATAAATTACAAATAAGGATCAATGTATCCCTGTTAATCTTCTATGACAATTACAACATTTATTTGCTTTTTGGCCTCCAGCCCATGCAAAAATGAAATACACAACACATTTACATAATATCTTTTATGTTATAGCTTAACATTTAATTCTTTTTATTAACAATACCGGAAACCGGACAAAAATGGAATCCTTTAGTGTAGCTTGTAAAACAGAACACGACAGAAATATGAGACTTATATGGAGGATATAGAGGATTATGTTCCGTAAACGATCTTTTTTATTCTAACATTTTTCTCTTCTTGGCTGATCTCAATATAGTACATTCAATCAATTATAAGATATAAAATTAAACAACATTATAAAGCGCCCGTTACATTTTTTGACATATCTTATCTTATGTTGTTAAATAAATGTTCTGCTTTATTTCAGGATATTGTTTACTAAATTTAAACCGCCTGTGTCTCAGCAACATCAAAAGTCTACGTTATTTGGACCATCCCTCGTATGTACAATATATAAACTTGTTATTTGGCAGACAATGAACAAACACAAGTTGACTCTTCGTGAATTAATGAATCTATTTAAAAAAAACTTTCTCACCAAATGATATGTAAATAAACTTTATTTATTTAATACATATAAAAGTAGTTTTCATATACCAAATAATACATAGTATAAACATTTAAGAAAAAATATTTCCTGAAAATGATTGAAACAATATCAATTACAACAAGAATAACAATAGACCGGTGACTAAAGTTTCAATTCCATGTGACAAAATATTTTAGTTTGCGGTGGTACGTTTTCCACACGTGAAAATTACAACCCTGATGAGCTTACACAGATAACTTGTGTGTGTTTCTACAGCTTATTAAATGTTGCTATAAATTTATCATCACTAGTTTTGGAAACATATTGAAACTCGTACTTTGATTTTCTTGCTAATGAATGCTAAGTATATTTTTTAAGAAATCTTAAAATCACCATATTTAATGTAAATGAACAAGAGTAACACAGTTTTCAAAGACGCACAAAAAAGGGAAAAAACAACATTTACGCTGTCAGCCATTGTTGAATAAAGTCTGGGAGAAACTGGCTGTTTTGAAGAGATATGGGGTAGTTATTTGAGTTCCTCTTTCCAGCTATGACTTCGCCATTACAAATGTCCGCAGACGACAAATCAACATTTGGCGGCATTTCATTCGGAACTAAAAAGTCTAACGGGCAATACAACTGGTGACTCTCAAAAGAGCCTTGGTACTCGTAATGCAGTGTCTGTTGACCGTATGCCTGATTTTGATGATGAACTGAATTACCACCCTGCATTATTCTGATATTATTCAAGTTGTTGGACGCATTTTTCACAACTTTATTTTGGTACTGTTTGTCTTTTGCTCGATGATTTTTGAACCACATTTGTAATGTTCTGACACTGAGACCACTTTCGTCACTGATCTGTTTTACAACACCTCGGGATGGACGTTTGTTTGATTGGTAAGCTGTTGTGAGCATGCGCAGTTGGTTGTCACTGAAGCACGTGCGATGACGTATGTCGGTGTCGTCTGATCCAGATTCGTCGGAACCACTATCTGTATCGCCGCTGTCTACAAAAGAAAAGTTTGATTACGTTAAAAGATTATTAATGGGAAACATTAAATATTTTCAATTTTAAAAATGGAACCGTCTAGAAATCTAGAAACAAACTGTACGAAAGGATCTCAAAGTGGTTATTTATAAAAACGAGAGAATCAAAAAATAGTTTTTTTCTTTTATAACGTGCTTTTAAAAACGCATTAAAATTAATGAAAATAAACTTGTACTCATTGCAAAAGACGCTTTACGTGCGCTTTCGTACGATATTTATTGTTATGTTACACGTGTGTAGTATAAAGAAATATCTAATGGTTTTATAAAATGGGAAAGAAGCGCCGTCTATGATAAAAGACTATTACGTGGTAATTGCATCAAGTCTTAAAAGGAATTTCAGCACGCAGATACAATACTTTAAACTTGTTTCCATTCCAAAATATCTCTTCGTACTTTCATTTAAAATTGTATAAATATATTATGGTTCATCCCAGATGTTTACAAGTAACAAAAGTTATGATAATAATAAAATTTCAATTAATGGTACTGTAAGCCATCGTGCAAATTTCGATAACAGATATACCAATATTTTCTTTTGAAAGAATACAAAATTTTCCTGTAACAAAGTGCAACTTAATATTTATATATGCATTCGGAAATCATGTGACAGTGTCTAATAAAGCCATTTTCTATTGTTACATTGAATTTTCTTAAATTCGGTGTATTTTTGTAATTATAATCCTGCGCATATGCTATGTATATTTATTAATTACAACACAAATGTAGATAAACCAACATTAAGTATTAAAGTTACGCATATTTTCTACTACATAAGCTGAGAAGAGTAATATTTGAAAATCCAGACACGGTTTGACCAATTAGAACACTCTTATCACTGGATATAGATTATTACACAATAGACGTGTGAGACACTCTAACTCCATAAAAGCCGAAGTTATCCGATTCAATTGTACTTAATGACCGGGTATCAGACGGTCTGAGTGACCTTATCGGGTCACAACTATAGAATTGTCATTTTCCAATACATCGATTTTATCGATTTTTTTACTAATAATGTATTCAGCGATAACAGATGCGTTCTGCACAAAGCAGGTGGTACTGTAGGGAACTAATTGTTGTATTATTGTGAAAAGTCTAACGGTTTATATTTATTCCCAGCATTTTTCCTTCCTTCTTAGAATTAATATAAATAATATTTGATTCTGCTATCCAAAAAATAATAACCTTTTACTGCATAATTATCATTAGGTTTACGTTAAATGGTAAAAATATAAATAAATCGCCAAACATAGAAAAAAAACAAGAAAGTCCCATTCAGTTGAAGAAAAAGATGCAAAATGTATTCTGAACTTGTTGAGTCAAAATTAAAGTAACTAATATGAAAATTAGTAGAGTCCTTAACAGATATTTAAAGATTTATACCTTTAAATAGTAATCTTTGATAATCGTCGGAACAGAGGAGTTTTCCATCATCTTTCATGTAGAAATAATGTCCAGGCTGAAGTCGACAGCCGCACGTGATGCACGAGAAACAAGCTGTGTGATATAAGCTACTGTTGGCAACATGCACGCCCTCTGACGGCGAGATTATTTCACAGCAGCTCGAACATTTCGCTCCAAACAACCTTCAAATATAAAATGACGCAAAGATGGTGAAGGAAATGAATATATAACTTTTATTGACAGGATTAAAACAATATAAGTTTCACATTCACTCAGTTAGTCAACCATTATCTGTGATTTGTGAAGAATTTTCAATGATCAATGTACGTTCAGTAGCTGTTTTATATATACGAGTATGTATATACAATATTTAGACATTGCAAATCGTAGATATGACTTTTATCTTATGCTTTTCAATGAGATACTGAATAATTCACTGAAATATACATCGTATCACAGTTCACACTACATGGAAGTGAGGGAAATAGTATTATTATTTTTAATAAATCAATTCCCTGTTTTCTCAAAACAAACACATACCATCCGTAACGGATATCAACAATATCAAATTAATAGTAATCGAAAAACCGAAATCTAGTCAAGTTATAAGTATTTAACGGAAACAAAATAGAACGTGTATGAATGTTTATTTACCGGGTAAAGTCTGTTCTGCAATACAACTCTTCGTCTTTCATGTGACAACATCCGGTAATGTGTTTCCGGCAAACAACACATTTTATACATGTATTATGCCAGTATTTCCCATTCGCTTGAAATAAAGTTCCGTCGTAGATTTCTTTATTACATCCAGTACACACAGGGGGTCCTGAAACAAAATCAACATCCATTTCATGAAATTGTATTTTATAACTAGCAAGTACCATAACAAAACAAAACAAAACTAAAACATGCAACAAGACAACTTTTTTTCTTCAATCACTTATTAAGTACAATTTAATTACTATATCATAGTTTATTTTTATGTGAAATATGCTGGAAAAATAAATAATGGCATTTTGTTTTTACTAGGAACGAATGATATTCTTTGATATATTTATAAATAAGAAATCACTTACCATTTGCTTGCATCGAATCAGTGCTGTTTAGTTCCATTTTTTTTTTAATTTAACCGTTTTTCAACCAAGTCTGTAATTAAACTTTTTGCATCCAAGTTAGCAAAGCATTTAATTGACAATTGTCATCGGTATATCTTTATTTATGTATATCATTATGTCATATTTACAACCAATCGATGACTGTGAAAATCTTGCGCAGACGATCGAATTTGACTTCCGCTAAATCACGTGACCAAGGCGCGAGACTTTTATCGTCTGGATTTTAGCGATTAAATATGTAAACAATAAGTAGCTAAAGTCGTAAAGTTTATTTAATAAAGAAAGTGTTATCTCGACCGAGAGATAATAACAATTACCCTAAATATTAAGGAATACATTACACATTAATAGGTATTATATCGTCTGCATGGCGCTTTATGTAAATACAAGTTGACGGGTTCCCACACATGTCACATGGGTGGTCATTGATATCCACTCCTCTTAAGCTATTTCGTAGTCTTTATAAGATTAAATTTAAGTATCTTCTTTTAGCTAATTAAATGACAAAATTATAACTAAGATCTGGGACCAAAAATATACATTATTTTACGCCCCAGCTAAGATGTTCTCGCACCTAAAGTAAATAGATCGAAAACATGACAAAATAAACCAAAATAACATATTGTACTTGACGAAAATAACATTAAAACTGCTTTGGACACTTGGGGAATCGGTTTTTATAAAACTTATAATTTGGGTGTATGGGAGATAACAGATGATTTAATTTCTGTTTCATTTCGACTGGATTGCCTCCCTTAGACAAAAAATAATTCGAGTCGTGAGCTCGTTGCCTAGTTTTATTATATTTTATTATCCCCAAAATTGGAGAGCGTAACATATTTACAAAGTATTATATAATGTACATACAACAGAAGAGAATTATATACAAATGCATTACATTGTAATATAAAAGATACAATAACATGAAATTATTTTACAATAATGTAAAGTCTTAAACGAAAGCGAAAGTTAAGACTTTGTTTTAAACATGAACATTGCTATATTCATCCTAGGTGAGAAAAATAAACAAGGTTACTAAGTCCCGTACCAATAACTGAATCTTAATCGAAAAACGAAAAATTAAGAGAAAGTGAAGGTACAGTCTTTGTGTTCATGCTTTATAAATGACTATCAATAGACGGATGTCATTAGCATTATTCCTAAATAAATCAATGATCTTAATTATTGGGGAAAAAAAAACAACACCAAAAAACAGGGAGCAAGTAAATAAAAAATAACTATACAGTTTATGTCTGAGAAAAATACTACATGTACTTTAAAGCGATAAAAAAAAATTTAACGTGAAGATAAAAGTTTTGCAAGCGCGAATGACAAGTACATTATCAATAATTTTAAATGAGATATGTAAAAACATGTCGAATTTGTATTTACATATGTGCAAAAATATTTCATTGCATCAACAATTAAATACCAAAAAAGGATTTTACATGAAGATTAAGTTGTGTAAGATTTTTCCACAGTATAGAAACAAAATCACTGTATAAGTGATTACATCTTTTACTTCCGGTCACTGTATCATTAGCAGACATAATTCATCTTGTATCACCAAGAAGAATGTGTTTTGGTGTAATTTTTATGTTCAGGTAAATGCATGTTACATGGGGGGGGGGAAACATCTGTTACAAGGGACGAGTTTTGTTTGACCTCAAAACCCTTAATGCTAAAGATTTCACATGTTAATTTATCTGACGTGCTTTTGTTTTTTGTTGTTGTTTTTGTTAGTTTTTTTGTTGTTGGTTTTTTTGTGTGTGTTTTTTTTTCAGCGCAGTCGGTTTTAGACATTGATGCTATAAACTCTGATACTTGCTGTTACTTACTTTAATTACTACTTGCTATAATTGTTACTTGCTTTGTTACTTACTTTTTTACTTGCTTTAATTGTTACTTGCTTTAATTGTAACTTGCTTTAATTGTTACTTGCTTTAATTGTTACTTGGTTTCTGCAGTAATATGCTTACCATATTTGAAAAACGATACGAAAGAAAATAAATTTACATTGAAGACTCTCTTCTAATCACGGTGTACGTGACATTATACATTTTACAAGAACGAAATTATTATCTTAGAGATATCATTAACATATCTCCAGCAGTGGCTTCATGATGATAATATATGTTAGCACAATCACTCCCCTTCATATACCTATATACAATCCTATATGTCAATATTTTGAACCAATTCCTATAACAACAAAAAGGTTTTAGAAAAGAGGTATTTTAAAAAATAAAAATGGGTATTGTGAGCGGTTTACAAAAATGATTATATTATTGATATATTAATACGATACATAGTTACAATTTACACCTCTATAATTAAAATAATCCCTTTTAATAAGTCTAGAGATAACATTAGTTGTGCTAACTTCTGCTCTTTGCTTGCTGGCGGAACTTGCGACCAGTACCAGTACCAAGATCTACTGGTATATCTGTGTCGTCTGCTCACGGTCTGCATTTTTCGCTATTCAGGCAGTACATATTTTGATTTTTTATGTAAGTTTGTCCTACTTCAGCGCAATATTGCCAAGAATTCGGAAAGTGATATTCTCTGTCAATATTTTACATTATTGTATAGTACAAATTGAAAATATGATGCAGTTTAAAATTTATTACAGTGGTGGTGTAATTCGAACTAAACTATTACAAAATAAAGTCTTTATTATTATTATTTTATCTTTTAAAGTCATGTGAATGTCGTACTTCAAATGATTGTAAGTTTGAAGAAATTTGAAAGTTTTTTTTTGTGAAATCACAGGAAAACACATTGACCTAGCTGTTGCATCATGATTCTCTCCGACTGGAAACATAATAATAATAGTAATACTGTTTTGTATTTTATTATCCCAATTATTTTCTTTATTATAATTTCATCCCCTCGTATTTTTCACAATAAACTCGCATCACAGCATCATAACAATAGCGCAGTATCTTGCCATGAGCGAAATATCGCTGAAATATCTTCTACGCCCTTTTTAATGCCGTACCTTATTGATTCTCTATCAATCTTGAAGCCCCAAAGGGACTCGGTCGATAAACCAATGTTTTAATTTTCGGCCCATTTATCTGCATGTAGTGACAGCCTTGCCTATATATCACTGAATAAAACACATTATGGATTCTTCTCAATCTTTTCCTCACATCTGTCCGCTAGTTTGGTTAAACGATATCTCGTTCGTACAAGGGAAAGAATTCTATCCAAGAGTTAAGACTGGAGGAAAACAAACTCGTAACTTCCGGTATCGGGTATGTCCGATTACTAGTATAGCGTATTACGTAAAGCATAAGTTCCGAGATGATGCAAATGAAAACGAGTAAAGCCCATGAAATTGGATAGTCCATTAATTCATTTTTACCCTCTCACAAGTCACGGAAGGTAATTAGACGACCATCTTTTATTTTCATACCATTGACATTGCTGATATTTATGGCTAATTATTTAAAATTTATGCGCGAGAATATTACAATAATTACCCTGTAGTTATGCACGTGCGCACAAGTGACATAGTCAATATGGTTTTGAAACTCTGTGATCCGACAAGATTTTTTTTAACTTAAAAATTTGAAAGTTGAGAAATATGAAACCAATCAATTAAATGAATAAATAAATAAAAAAATAATAAATAAATAAAGACTAGATTCTAGATCTAATGATAATTATACAGAATATTTTATAGGTAATACTTTTCGAAATTCCCGGAGCATTTATGACTTAACTTTGATAAGTTTTCATTCATTTTTTGTACAACATATTTCTGACATTTCTGATTGTCTATTTCTTAACTCATTTTGTTGTTGCTGTTTACTTTTAATTATGACTGTTGTTGTTGCTGTCATCACTAACATTATCTTCATCATCATTATCATCATCATCATCATCATCATCATCATCATCATATGTTGTTGTTGCTGTTGCTGCTGCTGCTGCTGCTGCTGCTGTTGTTGTTGTTGTCGTCGTCGTCGTCTTCGTTGTCGTCGTTGTTCTTGCTGTTGTTTGTTTGTTGTTTTTTTTGTTGTTTTTTTTATGTTTTGTTGTTGTTGTTTTTTTCTGTGTTTTCTTTATTTTTTGTTTATTCATTTATTTGTTGTTGTTTTGGTTTTTTTTGGCGGGGGGTCTTTGTGTTGGTTACATTGTTGTGGTTGTTTTATTGAACTATTCTTTGCTGTTGATTATATTATTTACATTACTATTGCTAATGATATTGTTGCTCCAGTTGTTATGATCATTTTTACATTTTTTTATTGAGTATAAGTATTTATAATTGTTATTACTATTTCTCATAAATACCGAATCAAAATATATTCATAATCGTTTTTATTCATTCAAAATAATTCATAATTTACATTTTGAATGAATTGTCATGTATGTATTCTATTATAAATTTTCATACTGTGTATTCAAAGCAAATATGTTATGATTTTTTTTTGTAGACGGAAAAAATAGGGAAGTAGTGCGACTGACTATGACCGATATGTAATGGATGATATATTAAATAACTAAATGCCACTGAAAAGCAATAGAATAAAAAATAACCATATCCTTCTGAATTTCGGCATTTTGACAATATGGTGTTCCGCTGAACAAGATAATCTGAAAACTCTATGTGATTGCAGACTATGGCATGAAGATGTGAAGATGGCATGTACATATATTCACGTAATTGATTTTCATATTTAATAAAGTTGTTAACTTACATGTTTATGTCAAAATGGGGTGAAACTTAATCTACAAGTGTCACAGAATTCCCAACCCGCACATTCCGCTCATTACCTACATTCCGCGTATTACCTACATTTCGCTTATTTTGACATCACCGCAATGGGATTACTTGGCCTCTATCTTTTTTCCTGTTTACAAGTCTACCGAGAGTGAAGCCCTCTTTCATACGTTTGCCACATTTTTTTACTTTGTAATCTTTGCTTATTCTTTACTCGAAATTTTAATTCATTTACTTCGTGTCAGAAAAAGAACGTAGCGCCTTAGAACATGTTCTTGAGCCGGCGAAGTGTAAGCTAATCCAATCAAGTTGATCATGTTATATTCGCAAACCCCTACTCCAATCAGTTCTGAGCTGCGTTGATTGAATTAAACAAATTCCATCTCGGAAAGTAATCAAATTAACACACTTTGTGTTTCCCGAACAAATCAGTTTTATTTTCATTCATTATTTCAACGCGCACTAAAAGAAGCAGTATTTCACCAAGTTTGAATGTTAGTATGCCCTTCCTTCCTTACTTGAAAAACAAAAAACACAACGTGATACTATTTCCTACAAAAAAAATCTGAAAATCGA